ATAAGAATTGAAAATCAAATGTCGGAAGAAATAGAAATTCTTCGGGGTGTGAGACAGGGCTGTGTATTGTCACCACTGCTGTTTAATATATATAGCGAAGCCATTTTCCAAGAAGCTTTAGGAGAGTGTAACGATGGAATGATAATAAATGGTGAAATTATTAATAATATAAGATATGCCGATGATACTGTCATATTCACTTCAACTCTGCAAAGTCTAACAAACATACTGGAACGGCTGAATGAAAAGTGTACCATATATGGTATTAAAATGAACTTAAAGAAAACAAAATTCATGGTCATTACAAAACATCCAAAAGACAACGAGACACTCCATATTAATAATATCCAGATAGAAAGGGTAGATAAATACAAATATCTAGGAACATTGGTTAGTCAAAACGCAGAACAAACGCAAGAGATTAAAAGCCGTATAGAAATAGCAAGGGCAAAATTTGTAAAAATGAAACATCTATTGTGTAGTAGAGACCTAAGAATGGATCTAAGGATAAGGTTATTGCGCTGCTACATTTTTACAACTTTGCTCTACGGATCTGAGGCATGGACATTGAAACAACTGGAGATTAAGAAATTGGAAGCTTTTGAGCGTTGGTGTTATCGAAGGATGCTACGAATAGCATGGGTAGACAAAATATACCAATATTGAAGTCCTTGATAGGGTTAATAAGAGGGAAGAAATTGTACAGACAATTAAGAGGCGGAAACTTAAATATTTCGGTCATATATTAAGAGGTCCTCGTTATGGGCTACTACGTTTGATTATAGAGGGCAAAATAAAAGGTAAAAGAGATGTAGGAAGAAGACGAACCTCCTGGCTACGAAATCTAAGGGAATGGTTTAGTCTGAGCTCTAGCCAACTATTTAGAGCTGCTGTAAGTAAAATAAGAATTGCCATGTTGATATCCAACCTTCGTTAGAAGATGGAACCTTAAGAAGAAGAAAAACCCCGACTGGGATGTCCGCCAGAGGGCCTGAAACTAAAAGGGGACGTTAAGGTTCAAACCTGATTGAAAAATAATCCAAAGGGACAGTGAAAATCTAAAGGTGACAAATAATTATAAAGTAGGTGATTCAATGACAAAACATTGAGATAATTAATTATTTATTATTATTACTATTAACGTAGGGTGAATAACCGATGTAATAAAGAATAATACGTATATAAGTATTTCTGTAACACTTAGAAATTATGTGCCATTTCTGAAAAACAGAAATGGAATGCATGCTAGTGGTGAGTAGCTACTTTCATTCGAAATGACACTGAAGCAAAAATCATTCCACTTACTACAAACCTGGAAGCTGTGGCTGTGTCAATCACCTACAGTAAAAACATCAATGTTTGTAATATATACTTACCGCATCCTAACCAAGACGACATAAATGAACTAACAGCACTCATAGAAAAAATTACCCCATCCCAAAGTAATTCTAGGCGATTTTAACTGCCATCACCCAGCGTGGGGTAGCCAAAAAATCGATAAATGTGGCAACTTTCTACACAGTCTGATAAATAAATCAAATTTAATCTTATTAAACACTGGAAAGCCAACAAGATTCAATTCATATAACGGATCATTCTCTGCAATTGGCCAGACTCTGTGTAGCCCATCACTAGCACACATGTTTCAATGGAACACAGCAAACACTCAGCACGACAGTGACCACTTCCCCTTACTTATTTCAATCGAGACAAACCAACCTCTTAATCGAATGTATATCAAAGATGGAAAATAAAATCAGCAAACTGGGAACTTTTTCAAAAGACTTGGAAGACGAGATGGAAAATTATAAGATATCAAATGACATTCACAAAACCGTCACGGACTTTACACATTATCTTAAATTGTGCATCTACATCTGTAGGAAAAACTGAACCGTGTAAAAGGCAACCAGTACCTTGGTGGAATCAAGAAATCTCTCGGGCCTTGGCTGCTAGCAAGCACGCCTTTAATGTTTTTAAGAGACACAAAACAGAGGAAAACCTAATAAAATTTAAGAGATTGAGAGCTAGCACACGATTCTTAATAAAAAAAGAGTAAGAAGGAGACCTGAATTGAATATGTTAGAAGCATTAACACATCTACACCAGCAAGTATAATCTGGAACAAAATAAAGAAAATAAAAGGATCAAGTTTACCTTACTCAATAAATGCACTTTCATATAACAACCAAATCATCTCTTGTAGAAACGAAATTCCTGAAATTCTAGTAGACGTATTTCAAAAAAACTCTAGCGATTTTGTACTAGATCCGATCTTTTCTACACACAAGACTACCACAGCGTTTGTAGACATCAAAATTCGCAACCAGATCTCCCCCATAAATGTACCCATAACTTTGCAAGAATTAGATTTTTCTCTTTTATACTTAAAAACCACATCTCCAGGTCCTGATGATATTCCATCGATATTTTCAAAAAATCCACCCCAAAAATGCAAAAAGATACTTTTAGACATCTTTAATCACATCTTTTTAAATCATTACTTTCCTGATAATTGGACCGAAGCTATTATAATCCCAATTTATAAACAACACAATCCAAAAGATTGTCCCACATCTTACCGTCCTATTTCCCTCACCTGTAGCATGTGTAAACTTCTCGAGAAGATTTTAAATTACAGGCTTACATGGTATCTAGAAAATGAAAATCTCCTGACCACAGTTCAAAGTGGTTTTCGACGAGGAAGATCTGCTAACGACAACTTAGTGGCACTTGAATCAACCATTCATGATGCATTCTTACCAGATCAGAAAGTTATAGCAGTCTTTTTTGATGTGAATAAAAGCTTTCAGACACAACATGGAGATACCTCATATTAAATAAACTTGATAAATAGGGAATTCAAGGACATATCTGCTTATAAAAAACTTCTGAATAAAAGGGAAATACAAGTAAGAGTAAATGGATACACCTCTACCACTAGAATACTCGACAACGGTGTTCCACAAGGTTCTATTTTAAGCCCAACTTTATTTTTAATTGCATTTAACGATGTAATAAATACAATTAAGCCTCCTATAAAAGCAAACTTATACGCTGATGATTTAGTTGTGTATATTAAATGCAAAAATATTACATCTGGGCTAAAATACTACAGAACCTTCTATACAAAATCGAAGAATGGTCTTTCAAAACACGCTTCCTCTTTTCAACTAATAAGACATTACACAGTTTTCAGCAAACGCAAGAATACCATTCCTGTTTCGTTAATATTTAACGGTCAAAATATATCTCATTCAGAGGAATCGAATTTTTTGGGCCTAACGTTTGATTACAAATTAAACTGGAAAACACACATTACGACTTTACAACTAACTTGTCAAAATAGAATAAACTTGCTGAAAATTCTATCCAATAATATATGGGGAGCTTATTCTAGTATTCTGCTTAACCTCTACAAATCTAATTATTCGCAGTAAACTAGACTACGGTGCAATATGCTACGATACAGCAAATAAAACGTTTCTACAAAACCTTAACACCATTCAAACAACAGCTCTAAGATTAGCCGTCGGTGCCTTCAGAACCAGTCCTGTAAGCAGCTTACAAGTAATATCAAGAGAACCCCCTCTACATCTAAGACGACATCTACTTAGTTTAAATTTTGCAGCAAGAATATCTTCCAATAAAAAGCACCCATTATATTCTGAGATTATTAACGCACCTACATCCAATTTGTATAGAAACAAACAATATAAAGACAAACCTTTTAGGGAAAGAATCAATCAAAAAGGATTCAATTGCAATGAATTCAATTTATTAATAACTGCAAAATTAGACTTTCCTCCATGGCTTACCCCCTTACCTATCACCGATTTAACTTTAACACAGTACCCAAAAATACCACAAATCCTAACCTTATCATTAACGCATTCAAAGAAATTATGGAGAAGTATCCAAATCACCACATAATATACACAGATGCATCAAAAACTGAAAGTGGCCATGCTGCAGCCTTCACAAATAAAAATTACAAATATGCCATTGGAATTTCACAGCATTGCAGCATTTACACCGGAGAAATAACAGCGATATTAGAAGCTATCAAAAAATCCTCTTCAACGACTGAAAATAGTATTTTAATCATCACAGATTCACTCAGCGCAATTCATGGAGTTAATCAACTTTACCCTAGCCATCCTATTACACAAAATATAAGAAATGAACTTAATGCACTACACCATATAAATAAAAAGGTTACATTTATCTGGATACCTTCACACATTGGCATTAAAGGCAACGAGGAAGTTGATCAATTAGCATTAAAATCCATCAAAAATGAAAATGTTCCAGAAATTACTAAATATCCCCACACCGACCATAAACGACAGTCCATTAATCATATAATAAATTTATGGCAAGCAACCTGGGATGCAACAGACTCTAAATTGAAAACAATAAAGCCTCGAGTAGACACCAGCCTACCACAACAAGGAAAAAGAAGAGATCAAGTAATCGTAAATCGTCTTCGAAATCGGCCACACAATACTAACACACCAACACCTTCTAAATAAAGAACCAGCTCCAATTTGTACCTACTGCTCTACTCAACTCACGGTGAAGCATCTGATAGTCGACTGTCCGCAGTTCCAACCTCAGAGAACATGCCGAGGAATTAGTTGAAACCTGAGAAGTGCGCTTACGACAAATATCTCGGATTTATTGCAGTTTCTAAAAGACATAAACATTTAATTTAACAAATAATAACATAACATAATAAACTTTAATTTAACAAACTGTACTACTGTGTATGTCCCCCCACTAATAACCCTTGGTGGTTGATGTGGGTTTTGTATGTTTAAATAAAAAAAAAGTATTTTCAGTAATCTCTTTATTGTAAAGCAAGTGAATCATAACTATTAACAAAAATCTAATTTATTTTTATTGTAGTACTTTACGATATACAATGTTTTTTGTTTGACTACCCGGTGAATATACAAACAAATCGGTTTTCCAACACGGGAACAGGCAACATACAATTAACCATCTGAGAAACATGGGTTTTCTAGATTAATACCACAAACACCTAATGATTGCACCTGTGACCTATTTATGGTCATAGCAAAATCAAGCCGCACTGGAAACTGTAGTCGTTTAAATTCAAATGGTATATCAGTCGGAATCATTGGGATGCATGGTATCAAAACGTCTTCTCCCTTATACTTTCCTTTCAGTATAGTTGCTCCTATTACGTTGTTCAATAATTTTTTTTTATCGCTAACCGTTGTGCCGTTGCAAAGACGCGGTTGGTTGATATTTTTCAACATTATGACTACCGATCCAACCTCTAATTGAACATTGTGAAGTGGCAATTCTAGTAAATCCAGCAAGTTTAAAAATCCAGGCGGATAGTTGACTACATCATCTTGGTTAGTATCTGAATCAATTGATTTATATATCCTCAATTCGCCTGTAATTTGTTCTTGAATTTTGAAATTTGTTGCAGCCATTAAAGCCAGTGCATGCCCAGAATGACATCAAAAATTTTTATGGTGATCTCAACGCAAAAATAGGAAAAGAGCAACAATACCTACCAACTATAGGTAAGCACAGCCTTCATGAGATATCCAATGACAATGGCATCAAACTAATAAATCTAGCAACTTCCCTTAACATGGTCATTGCCAGCACATGCTTCCAGCGAAAAAATATTCATAAGGGAACGTGAAAGTCTCCAGATGGGGTCACAGTAAACATGATCGATCATGTTATTATTGATTTTAGACATCACTCAGATGTAATAAACGTATGCAGCAGAAGAGAGGCAAATGCATACTCGGATCACTACTTAGCAGACAACAGCAAAAAGGCAAAATACAAAGAATATATAAAAGGAAGGCTAGAAAATAGACACAAGCACGAGGATATAAACAGAGAATGGAAAGCGTGTAAAAACATCATACAAGACGCGGCCAAAGAGACATTGGGTCTACAAAAAAAGCCCAAATCAACTGAAGAACAGTGGTTCGATGAAGAGTGTCGTAATATAACAGAGAGGAAAAATAATGCATATCAACGACTACAACAACGACATAAAACACGAAAGGCAAGGTGGAATATAGAATGCTAAGGAGGAAAGAGAAGAAAATACATCGCAGAAAGAAAAGAGAACACATAGAAAAAGAACTCCAAGAAATGGAAGAAGTAAATAAACCATCAGAAACAGAAAATTCTACCAAAAACTTAACAAAAGTTGAAAAGAATTTAAACCAAGAACAATGATGTGTAGAGATAGAGAACGAGATATAGTAACTCAACAGAGTGAAATACTACAAAGATGGACAGAATTCTTCAAAGAAAAGTTTGAAAAAAACGAAGATCCACTATATGATGGAATTATACTGAATCAAACAGATACCAGAGAAACAACCCTCCTTCAGTAGCTGAAATGCAAGAAGCAGTTACCAGACTGAAAAACAAGAAGTCACCTGGATTAGACAACATTAGCGCAGAATTAATAAGGGAAGGTGGAGACTCCCTATTGAATGCAATACACGACCTAATAGTGAACATATGGAATAATAAACAATTGCCACAAGACTGGAATGCCGGATCTGATCACACTGGACTGTGTGATCAGATCTTCGTCTTGAGGCAACTCTTGGAAAAGACTAGTGAATTTAATATAGACACACATCATCTTTTCATTGACTTTGAGAGTGCCTATGATAGCATCCATCGAGAGTTTCTGATCCATGCACTGAAAGAGTTTAATATTCCAACTCAACTCATTGATATAGTAAAAGAAACACTTAAGTACAAAGCAAAATTCGAATTCAAAACGAACTAACAGATACAATCCATGTGAGAACGGGCCTACGATAGGGAGATGCCCTATTCTGTATTCTATTCAACATCACATTAGAGAAAATAATTAGGGAGACAAAAGTCAACACCAGAGGAACAATAATAACAAAAAGTGTACAAATATTTGCATTTGCAGATGATGTTGATATTATAGCTAGAAGCAAAGAAGATGATAGAAGCATTTAATGCGATAGAAAGAGCGGCACAAAACAGTGGCCTAAACATTAACGAAATAAAAACCAAATACATGAAGACCAGTAAATCGACAGGGCAGAGAAACCTGCAGAATCTGACAATACGAGGCTATAACATCGAAAGCGTGAAAAGTTTTACATATCTAGGTTCACTAGTTACCGCAGATAACAATATCAGTGAAGAAGTTAAGAGAAGAATACATATCGCTAATAAAACATATAATGGACTAATTAAACATCTAAGATCTAACAACATCACAAGAAAAACCAAATGCAAAATATACAAGACCCTGATAAAACCGGTCCTTGTATATGGATTAGAGACGTGGACACTGTCGAAAAGCGATGAGAACCTATTAGGTACATTTGAACAAAAAATACTTAGACACATATATAAGGGGGTAAAGGAAAATCACATATGGAGCAGAAGATATAATTTTGAACTATACACAGCATACAATGAACCCGAGATCGTAACATCCATAAAGATCGGACGTCTGCGCTGGATGGGCCATGTTGAACGGATGTTGGAGACTGAAACGTCAAAACATATAATGAGGAAACACCAGTAGGGAGAAGGTCAAAGGGAAGACCCAAACTTAGATACATGGAACAAGTGGAACAAGATCTGAAAACACTTAAGATTACCAACTGGAAAAACAAAGCAAAGAACAGAACAGAATGGCGGAAAATCCTAGAACAAGCCAGGACCCAGAACGGGTTGTCGAGCTACTGATGATGATGAATATAGTCCGTTCGCTAACCAATCATGGTTTCTGTAATTTTGAGCAACATCTGGAAACACTTTCTGGAAGCAAATATCGGTTTGTTTGACAGATTCAACGACGTGATGCAATTTATGTCGCGTTCCAAAACTTTTACTCAAATTTAAGAATATTGTAGGCTACTGCTAACAAAACACTGCCAAACATATAATCACTTTCGGTAATCTGGACACTTTTGGTAATCCGACACCCATTTGGTTTCATACCTGTCGGATTACCAAGAGACAACTGTATTCACAAATTGCTTATATTCGCTTTATGTAAGTAAATGTTATTTAAGTAAAAACAAAAGATTATCAAAAATAGTTACACAAACCGTTTTGTGAAATAAACGAGGCTTAAGTCTATAGAAATTCATTTCTGGATAAGATCCACATGAAGATCGATACGAGAAAGGGTTCAAGAAATCAATCATACTACAATAACGACATATAATCTAATTATACATAATATATAATAATATAATTTAAGTTTTTTTAATAAGACGAATTACGGAAAAGTGTACTTTAGGATTGAAAAGAACCAATTAAGTAAAGTTCAATAATATAGAGTTATGTATTCATCACGGCAATAGTTAAGTTAAAACTATCATAAACATCTAAGCTTCTTTCTGATGCTATTTATTTATGATGGCAATAAACTGCATCTTGCGCATTTTCCATATATGAAAAAAACGCATTTGTAACCTTGCTCTAATTATTACTAGGTATCACTGTAAGTCGGCAGCAGGATTTCGCAAATGCATTACTCAATGCCTCTTATGGCACGAAGAAGACGCAGAGCGTTGTAGACGTTCATCCCACGACAGTTTTACTACATTCGTGAAAACATTTTAACAACGTTACGGGCCTCGTTTGATTTTGCGATGTATATTTTATTACCACAAAAAAAAACAAAAAAAATTAGAGATCAATATTGAAGCTTATTTACTCAAACGTTCAAATGAATCTCAAACTTAAAGTGTGACTATCAATACAAAATCTAAACACGATTGCTTACAATCAAAGATTTTAACGTATTTTTAAAAATATTAGGGGATCCCAGGTCAACTCAACTTCGATAAAATTATTATCGTTGATAATGTTGCTGAGGTGAATCTACGGCAGGTTGTGGATCACCGTCAGTCGCTCTGTCTGCTAAGGCAGAGGATCTAAGTGTCCTATGGGATTCCATTTTGTACTGTAACAATCAGAAAACAAACGGAAGGAAGAAATAATGCCGGGTCCAGACCAAGGAGACAAAACGAAAACACAATTCTGAAACAAAAACACGATAAACCAGCGACAAAATTTGTCGTCAAAAGACAAAACAAAATTGAGACAAACTGTCCACACCAGAACAACAAAATATTAAAACCAAATTCAGTTGGTGACGTTGTTGTTGTGATTAGTGTTGGTTAACCATGTGGCGTTTTAATCAAACGCCACATGGTTAACCATGGAAAAAAATGAAACTGAAGATTTATTGCTAGCCGCAAGTTGTTTTTTTTTTGCTCTCATCATCATCCCAGATTGCTAAAACAAAACCCAAACGTTTTTGGATTAGACTAATCCTAAAAATGCGAGAAAGTTGTTCGATAGACAAATTGTTAGTTCAGCTGCGCGCAGATGTTATTGGACTAAGTGGTGAAATTCGATCAAGCTTCAAAATTTTTTTAAGAATGTCCACCGAAGATTTTGAGAATCTGATATGCCTTGCTGGTCCTGCAGTTGCAAAAAGACATACTAACTTTAGAAATGCTATAAGTGTAACAGAAAGGTTAGCAATCACTTTAAGATTTTAGCAACAGGTGATTCCTACCACAGCCTAACGTATCAAAGCAATCAATATCTGTAATAATACCTGAAGTATGTAAAGCTTTAATTAACAGTCTTAGTGGTTATGTACAGGTATGTTAAACTTTTTTCATTACTATTTTTCTGTTAATATCCCTTAAAATAAACTCCATATTTATTGTGTTTTTTAAGTTGTGTACGTTGGTCTTGTCACATGTGTCATTCTGATTTCTAGGGCACCGTTGCCAGTTCAACGAAAATACTATATAAAACCAGCTAAAAGCAAGGCTGTCTGACAGACCATCAGTTTTGAGTACACTAAAAACTAAAATATTATCGAGCATTCTCGAACAGTCAGTCACATTAAATTTGTTTAAACATGCATACTAAAAAATTCTCATATTAATTTTGTAATTTTCCACCATCTCAATTAAGTACCCATACATTGATTTGTGTTTTATAACAATTCATGAAAATATTTCAATTCAAAAATAATGACAGATAATCAATCTAGACAAACTTCAAATTATTATAATCAATGAGATTTTGGATTGTAACTGTTACGTTTTGAAAAGCGTTTTTTCGCAACGAATATTTTCTGGTATACCTATAATACGTAGGATAAACTATATTGTTAGTTTTTCACATTTTTTATCGTTCTTATAACAAATAATAAATTAATCTTGCTAGTTTGCCTGTTACAAAACTTATTGACATAAAATACATTTTAAGTTCAGTAGGTAATTGAAGTATAATGTATAAAATTACAGTAGATGGATTCCAATATTCCCTGTGCCAATATCCTAGTTTTAAAGATCCTTCAAACAATTTGGATAATAACTCAAGCCTATCTCTGCTTATTTAATTTCTTAAATTCTTTTTTTTTGGT